GTGAATGGGCTGAGGGGTCTGTGAGCTCCAGACCCAGCCCTAGCTTGACAATTGGCCCAGTTGGCAGGATTCTGACATTAGCCTAGCACAACAATTGGCCCAGTTGGCAGGATTATGGGCAGGTAAAATATCTCTATAGGCGGGATGTATTGTTTCTCCCTCCCTTGTAATGTCTGTGCAGATCCATAGTTACTCCTCCAGCCTGTGTACCCTGCACAGCCTGAGAGACCAGAGAGCGAGGAAGCCTCTAGGGAACAGAGGAGGTTATCTCAGTCATGCTCTGCCTCCAGGATACAATCCCCACCTCCAGACAGACACACTCCCTACAGGCCTTCAGTTACCCATTCCCTAGTAATACCTTCTGGGGAAACTGGATGTGGGGACTGCCTCCTTCTATAGCCCCAACCTGTTTCCTCAAGGAGAAGGGATCAAATGTGATACTTAAGAGACTTCATAAGCTCTTTAAATAAAATCATCTTAGATCTTTCTGTTCTTTCTTGACCAGGACAGCCTTAACGTTCCCCTCAGCTTGACTAAACAGGTTTCCTCCTGACTCTAGGCCCCTGGCCTCCCTGAGAACATTTACTTTCGACAATTTATCATAAATCTTTTCTCTATCCCTTTGAGATGTAAATTTTTTCCCAGCCTCTTTCCAGTTTTACAGCCCAGGGGTGTGTTTCTCTAGGGCTTGAGAACCATCTTTTTGAGATGTAGACACCAAGGAAGACAGTGCCCCTATCTCCCAGCTTCCGTGGAAGGAAACAGTAGGACCTTAGGGGTGTTCCCTCCAAGTTGTAAATTATCTCCTGTAGTGAGAATAGAAAGTTAATTTTTTCCTTTAGTTAGGCAAATTAGTAAATGCAAATGGTCTAAGATTCCCCCCACCCCAGCTCTTAAAAGCTCTCCATCCCTTTGTCTCCACTTAGCTAGGTACTCAAACTTAGTCTGTGTTTTCTCCCCTATTGCTGGCAATAGTATCAGAATAAAATCAACTTCTGTTTACTCATCATGTCCAGTGTGATTTTTCTTTTTAAAGGTTGTGATTTTCCTGAAATTTTCTCAAATCCCTCTCTTCTGGCCTTTGCAATTTATTAGGCAACAAAGTAATGCATTACTGGAAATGTGTGTGTCTTACCTCTCCCATTCCACTAACATTTTGTTGGACGCAGAACATGTCTAAGATGCTCTGTACCACGAACTGCCTAGTAGAGCACTGTAGGTGCTTAAGCCCTATTTGCTGACAAAATATTTTCCTTCCAAAGCAAACCACAATGCTTAATTACTTTTAAAAACATGCCACTATTTAAAAATATTTTATTTATATTGTTTTCTGCCAGCAGAAAATATTGTGAGTTTTTTGCAATGGCCGTGAGAAGGGACCCTGAGTCCTATTATCTCTTCTTCTATGAAGATACAAAGTTTGGGATAGAGGAAGAAGCTGGATTTAAGGTGGAGGCTCCAAGTGGGTCTCTTTGGATGAAGTCTCAAGAAGAAAATTAGGACTCTGGTGTTGTAGATTTTCTGAAATGTAATTAGGAACACACAGGGATAAAGAGAGGTTCAGAGGGAATCCCACAGTGAGTTGCACCACGATTTTAGATCCCGAAGATGAGATTTCTTCTTCCTCTTTTAGCTTGAGACCTTTGAGAGCATTCCAGCAGCAACCCTTGTTCCCCAAACTTGGTCATCCTTAAATCCTCTAACTGCCTTTGGCAATGTCAAAGCTTGGAAGAAAATAAAGTCTTTGTTCAGTTCATCATTGTCCATATCACGTATTCTAATACCCACACAGTGGAGAAACCAACGTGCAGAGAAATGGAAATGAAGTGATGTGCTCTGTGCATGCAGCTTGTGGCAGCATCAGGATGTAGATTCTAAGTCTCTCAGTCTGGTTTTCCTTCAGGTGTACCATGCTGCCTTTCTCCTACTGAGTTCAGGGGATTGGAAGGCCAGGGAGCAGGGGCTGGATTTTGAGGGCAATATACTTTCTGGCAAGAAGATGTGAGAATTTGGTTCTTCTGTGAAGCTGCTGAGATCAGAGCACGTGCTGTTGTGGTGGTGAAGAAAGCCTGCAATGGGAATTAAAAAGAAATACATCATGCATTTCTGAAACAACTTTGGGTACTCAGGGTGGTAGGAACTTTTATACTCTATCTGTGGAAATGTTTCTCACTACTGTAATATTTAAAGTTATTAGCAGCAGCAGCAAAGAGTCATGTGACTTAAGACTTCTGTTCTTCTCACCATGAGGTGAGATTCCTGGAAGAGTCCACCTCTTATTCTTTAATACTTATAAAAGTAAATATCTACACTTTTATTCTTATTCTTTTATATTATTCTGTAAGTACTGCTGAGCACTGTTGGAAAAAATCACCAAGCCACCACCAATTCATGTTCTTCACCTTGAGCTGAGTCTGACATTATTCACCTATTCAACTCTCAATGCATGTATCTATTAGTAAATATTTCTCTTGCCTTTTCTCCATAATGACAATCAAAAATCTTTATGATTCTCCTCAAATCCCCCGCCTCACACGTTTTAGTGATGGCCCCACAGGAAAAGGAGAAAAAGCCATAGGCAAAACTTTCCTTCATTTCTTCTCCAGACAGCCAATATAACTGTATTCGCACCTATCATTTTTTCTTTTCTGTAATCTCAGATAAAGATCCGTACCACTACTTCATGGCTACACCCTCCAAAAGCTTTGGATCGCAACTCATCCCATCATTATCACCGTCGTTATCCCTTTCTTCCTGAACCATGTCCTCTCCCATTGTATTGGTTCTTTCCCTTCAGGAAATATATATACTTAAATTTTCCCCATTGTAGGGGGGAAAAAAAAAGAAGAGAAAAAACAAAGAAAACCCACCAAAACACTCCAGAGTGTTTTGACCCTTTACTCACTTACTTTTCATTAGTTCCTATTTGCTTTTTACATTAATATTTTAAAGCCCTGTCACACAAATAAAAATACTCTTATCAAGGTTGCAAATCCAATGGGATCTTTTCACTCTCTTTCCTACTGGATATTTTATGGCATATATTACTGAAGACTACACTCTCCTTGAAACAAACTTCACTTGGTTTCTACTTGCAGCTTTCTTTTTCCATTTAATATGGCTGCTCCTTTATGGACCACTTTTTCTTGATCAGTCCTTAAATATTAAATGTTTGTAAGGATTCCTTTTTGACTTCAGCTTCTAATTCTGCATACTTTCCCTGGGTGAACTAACTTTTCTGATGCCTTCACCTATTACAAGTTACTTTTCAGCTCCAAAAACCTCAAATTTGTATATCCAGCTGCCTTATGGACCTCTCTATTTGAGTATTTCAGAAATATCTCAAACTCACCACATCCTAATCTGAATTCATCAAGTCATTCTAAACTTAAAAATAGGCAAACAAAATTACCAGATGTTCTTTCAGTCTGGTGTTAGCCTTGACTTTCTATTTGCAGGGCTATTTTACAACTCTGTGGGGACAGAGGTTACCTGACAGATTTATGTTGGGTAGAGATACAAATAATTTCTGTCCAGTGGAACCAATAATCCCATCAATACTGTTTGTGGTGTTGTTGAATATTAATCCGTTCTGGCAATCTGATATATATATA